CATTTTTTCATAATGAAAAAAATATAATTTTAATTATTGTAGCATAGAATCATGTTAAGTAGAATTTATTTTTCTCATCGTCAAAATCACTGACTTAAGGCCATCGGGCCAGTATACATTTGTAAAATTCACGATGGTAAAAAATTATTACAAAATTATCCATGCATGTAACGAATAATAAATTGCGTTTCACATCAACATTAACTGTGTGTTTGGATTTCAATTAGAAAAAATTGATTATAGAAAAAATTGATTATTAGAACGTGATGACGTTTGGACAAATTTTTAGAAATTGATTTTGATAAATTGAATATGTTTGGATGATTTCTTGATAATCAATTTTGAATGTGCAAATAAATGATATAAAGAAAAGGAGTCAAATGGAGTTTTGCAAATAAAAGAAATTTCGGTTTCTCTAAAATGGAGTTTCCCAAATCAAATAGAGTTTTGTAAAATGAGGGTGTTTGGATAAATTTTTACAAAACCATAATTTTGATCCCATAATTAATTCCCAATGAGTATCCAAATAGGCCCTAAAAAGTGGCTGAACTGTGGACCTGAAAAGGAAGTGGTTAGACTGCAGCTAAATAAAAAAATTTGATTCCACAAAAAAATCAATAAATAAGTTAGCTACTTACTTCTCCCGTTAAATTTTTTTAAGGTGTTAAATATTAAAAATATAAAATATTTTTAATTATTCAATATACAATTAGTATATTTTTTTTAAAAAATATTCATAGTAAAAATTATTTTATATTTATAAAATGAAATATTCTTATTAAATATAGATAAATATAAAAAGATGGTGTTAATTTTAAAATAAATAATTATTTTATTAAAAAAATGAGAGAGGGGAGAACATTATTGTCGAACTCTCGAGTTAACTTTACGAGTTTAACATTTTTATATTTCTAACTTATAAAATTATATTAATTTATTTATAAATTTGAATTAGATAAAACTTGGTTAAATTCGAGAGTTGACTCTTTGAGTTTATTAATTTTAAACTTTTAGATTATAAAATTGTGTTAATTTACTCACAAACTTATTAACCAAGATATATATACACTATGTAAAATTTGATTCATAAAAGCATGAGATCTGTTTCAAGGAAAAATAAAATTCAAAAAAACAAAAAAGTAATATTAATAAAAAATAAAAAAAATAAAAATACGCTGCTCTATTTTTAAATTTCTATGTTAAATATAATATTCTATAAATGTAGATAGATTAAATTTTAATTATTTATATTTAAATTTAAAATATATTTAAATTAAATTATGATCATATTTTATATATTAATTATCTAATCATGTATTTTTAAAGACCATTTATTAATAAAAATAAATTTTTATAAATTTATGATTAGAGTTTATATTTTAAATTTATATTTTTATTATAAATTTATTTAAATTTATGAGTTTAATGAGCGAGAATGAATTGAAAATAGCCTTCCGCGGTGGGCGGGAACTCAGATGAGATTGGAAATTTGGAATCATAGGATGCTCTCTAATTGCTTTCGTCAAACCTTGTCGTCTTCTCTGAGTTCAGCTTCTTTGACTTTCTGACGCAGGCTACCGAACAACAATAAAAAGAACAGAAACATGGAAAAAAAAAATAACAGAAAAAGGATTTTTTTCCCCTTTTTTGTTTTGGGGGGGGGGGGGGGGACCATGGCAAAAATGAGAAACTCAACAAACATTATGTAACTCTATTTCGTTATTACAAATATATATTTTTAATAGAAAAATTAATATTCAAGACATGAAGAAGAAGCTAATGAAGTAGTTGGTATTTGGATCACGGGCGAAGGCAGTCTCTTTCGTCCCAAATCCCAGCCCCTCACGGCCACATTATGTATCTTATACTTTTGGAAAAGAAAGATAAACAAAGACGGTTAAAACATTGTCGCATTAATATTAAAATCAATTCAAAACTGCTTTTAAAAATTTACTGAGTCATTTTTTTAAAATCTCACAAATAGATGTAACATTAATTTTTATGAGAAAATCTTGTATGGACCCGGTATAATACTTCATCTAATAAAATTATGCCAATTTTAGTTAAATAAAATATTGAGTGTCAATATTTTTAATGACCTTATTTTTAAAATATAATGCCTATTTAATTTTTTATCTTTTATTTTTATTATCATTAATAGCAAAATCAATGTATATTTTAGAATGAAATATTTTTATTGAATATAACATAGATGATACTGTGTATCGAATCTATGCAAAATTTTTTCTAAATTTTATAACATCGTCTCTCATCAGCGTATCCGCGACAAAGGGATCTAATATTTTGGATGTTGTAATGAATTTTTTTAGGAAAAAAATGATATTTTTATAAAATTAATTAAAATATATTTTATTTATTTAAAAATATAAAGTATTTTTAACTAAATTATTTCAAATAAATAAGTTAAGTGTCTTTAAATTTATATCATTTTTTCATGTTTGTTTTTATTTAATAGGGTATCGTACTTGAAGATAAATGATTGCTTAGTTTATTTATTAAAAAAATATTTTAACAAAATACATTAATTGTACTTTAAAATATTAAAAATAATTTATATTTTTTAACATCAAAATATTAAAAAAAGGCCTTATATTTTTTAAATGAGGAAGTGAATGAATTGATAAAAACATGAGAAAATTTGTCACCCAAAAAAAAAAAACAAAGACAAAGTTTTAAAGAAAATAAATGAAGGGCTCCGTCACTTTGATCCTTGCGTGTGTACGAAATTTTGAGGAAAACTTATATATATAGGCTGCCAATCATTCAACATTATTACTGTATATATTATATTGATATAATGATGTACATTTCTCAAAACCAAATAATTATTAATGCATTAGACACAAATAATTGTTCATGATTTTTAATAACTTTTTTCGACCTCATGTGTTAATAACTTGGATTCATGCAGGGGGAGAACAATAAAATGGAACAATTCTCGAGAATTATACTAATTAGGTGCTTTGAACCTTTGGAAGGTCATGAATATTCAAAAAGTAAGATAATATTAATTTGGTTAATCTTTTTTTTAATAAACAAAAATTTAAATGAGTTGAGTTATGAGAGTTCATTGGAGACAAGACATACCGTCAAGTTCAAAGAATATTTATAAAAGTATTTATAAGTTGTTTATCAACAAAATTTTATATTAACAACAAAATTTTATTTTATAACTTTGTGGGTCATGGATTAAATTTTTATCAATTAGATCAATATTTATTTATTTTGGTTAATATCTTATTATAAAAAAATAAAATTAAGGAGACGAACCAAGCCACCAAGGTAAGGCTCCCTGAATCTTCATGAATCATGCTTCATGTTAACTTTTCGGACCAATACGGATTATTCTGCTTCTTAGCGACGATTAGAGACCAAAAAGCTTGTTAATAACGAGAGAATCTCAACCAAATTGAACAGGCTAAAAGTACACTCTCATCCCATGTCATGTGATCATCAATTGGCTTTTTCACTGTTCATTATTATTGTTGTTGTTGTTGTTGTTGTTAGTGGAAGATGATTATTTATTTGATGTGTTTAGAATTTGGATGGGCGCGTGAAAAAGAATGAAGCCTTTTCCAAAAAAAGAGTAAAAGAGGAGTGCCAATCTGGTCTGCCGCTCAGTCCGCGGTTCCTAACGAATCTTGGAAAAAGCCATTTCATATTCATATCATCAGCTTCATTTTTCAAGATAATACCAAACATTTATTGAAAAATTATTTTTTCACATATATTTAGTATCCAGTAATAATAATACTAGGCATCAGTAGCATTAAATACAAATAATTTTCCTAATTTAATTTCGAGTAAAAGTGCAATTTTCTGGTAAATATAATTGAATATATGAAATTCTGAACTTTTTTCTTGATATATTTATCTCTCAACAGTTAAAAACCTTACAATATGCCACCTCGTTAATTTCAATGTAAAGTCCATCACTTTTGTAGTGTAGGTCAACATTTTCTTTCACATGCTTTGACAATTATTCAAAGTCTTTGTAATTGACGAGAGGGAGCACATTTTTTTTTTTTTTGGGGATCAACAAGAGGGAGCACATTTCAATATTTAATTTATAAGTGTCGAGGAGAAAAATAAAAAAAATTAAGGATAAAATTGTTTTTTTTAATTTGTTACTCATAATATCTTATTTTAATCACTAAACGTGGCAACTTTTATTTCTATGATTACCATTTGTAAGTGGTAAGCATAATAGACACTTTAAAGCCAATCTATTGCCGCAGATATAGCGATTATGCCATCGCATTACATGCACCTTTCTCGCCGCGTGAAGAGATAACATATAAAAAAAACTCATTTATTTTATTCTTTTACGGTATGTTTGGTTTGGGTGGAAAGGTTTTAACGAACGAAAATGAGAGTGGTTTTAATGAAAGGAAAGAGAAATGATTTGATATTATCTTATTCAATTCAAGAGAAAAGAGGGGAGGAGAGAAAAAATAATTATATATGAATAATTTTACTTTTATTTTATTAATGTTGAGATATTAAAAAAATATTTACAATTTTTAAATTTATCATGAAAAGTATATTAATTAGAGTATGAAAAATTTTATTTTCCTCTTTTCCAATCCTCCCAATTTGGAAGGGAAGGGAGGACATATTTTTAAAAATTCTCTTCTCTTTTTTTTTTATTTTTTAAATCAAACAAGAAGAGAGAGGCAAAATTCCTCCTCTTTCCTTCCCAATCAAACACTCTTGCTGATAGAGATGTAGACAATCATGTGAATAACAATATCAGACAACAATTTTTAATAACATCAGATAACAATTTTTTTAGAAGTATGAAACGTAACTATTCCCACATGATCCGCATCATCACCCAAGCCACCTTTTCATCTCTCTCCCAAGTCATCTTCTCGCGCACATGCAAACCTTGCCTCCTATTGCTCTCGAAGTCAGAATCAAACAAAGCCAACTTCATTTTTTAATTTGTTAATTATTACTGTGAAGTCTAAACAGCGAAGAGCCCACTTTTTTTCTGTCATAAACAATTCGGTTTTGCAGCGAAATTTGTCATTCTCTGCCATTCTCTATCTTCTATTCCCTGTCCTTCCAGATATCCCCTGGTCTGCTTTCTTCTTCTCTCGTTTCTGCAATGGCTACTCTGGAGGACATTGGAGTCTCTGCTCTCATCAATATTCTCAGTGCTTTTGCATTCTTGCTCGCTTTCGCTCTGCTCAGGATTCAACCCATCAATGACAGAGTCTACTTCCCCAAATGGTATATCAGTGGAGGAAGAAGCAGTCCCAGGAGCTCTCGTAATTTTGTGGGAAAATTTGTCAATCTCAATGTCTGGACTTACTTCACCTTCTTGAACTGGATGCCTCAGGCTATGAGAATGAGCGAGTCCGAGATTATCTCCCATGCTGGCCTTGACTCTGCTGTTTTTCTCAGAATTTATACTCTGGGGTTGATCTCTTTTCGCTCGTGTTTAATTTTAGAATTCTTCGATGTTACATGTGCTGTTATAGCTTTTTACACAAGTAAATATGAGTTTCATTGTGGCTGAGGTGAATTGTTGTTTAGTTGCCATGTTCATCTGCTGATCCGATGGCAAAATATCATGGGGTTGTGCTGAAATGTGAATCTTCATGTCGCTGTTTTATGCTGATGAAGCTCGCTTTGTATGCATTGGCTTAGTTTCCATCGTGTTTCTGGCATTTTTCTTTTCATCGGGAATTTGAAATGATACACTGTTGTGCAGCCACAATATTTGGAAATTATTTAGAAACAAAATTTTCCCATTTAACGCTTGAACGCTTGGTCATTGCATTGTTTTTATTCATTTTCACTCTTTTGTTGTTTCCAACTCTTCCTGAGTTCCTCACAGAAGCCTCTCTGGTTTTGTGTGTTGACTCCTGGTTTCTTCAAACTATACAGTATCCTTCTTCTGAACTGTTTCAGTGGGTTAAACCCTCCTCCTTCTGAACTTGCTCAATGACTCTACCACCTGATTATTCAGCCCTTTGTGACTATAAATACGTTGGAGACCATGATTCATGATGATCCTTAGACCTTCTTGTTTCTCCAATTTCTGTTTGCATCTAAACTACTTTACTGTCTTGTTTCTCTAATTTCCATTGAAATCAGAATTATTTTACTGTTTTGCTGCAAGAATTTTGACTAGTTTTCTCTCTGTCTTACAGCTTAAAGATTTTTATCCCAACAGCAATCGTGGCTCTCCTCATTCTTATTCCAGTCAATGTATCAAGTGGGACGTTATTTTTCCTAAGGAAAGAACTGGTTGTGAGCGATATTGATAAACTCTCAATATCAAATGTTCCCGCTAAATCTATAAGGTACTAGTATTTAAATGAAAACAAAGATTTAAAATATTCTGTTTTGAGGTTCAAGTTGGTGTTTCCTTCTCTTGACATTGACTTCGCAAGTCATTGCTAGAAGATAGAACCCTTTTAGGAAAAATCTGATTGAAGCATATCTTCAAGTGTCTAAGCATAAATGGGGTGCTATCAAAGCTGAAGGCTAAGCGTAATTATTATTGAAAATGAAGTCTCAACATTCTACTTAATCAAATGTGAAGATAATTCTCAATATGTATGATGTCCTAGTGGTACTTTGACTACTTTGCCTAGCACAGATAGGGATTTATTTTACGTACATCCCTGTGAACAAGAAATGTGAGCTTTTTTCTTCCTTTATCTCCAAGAGTTCGCCTAATCATGAACTTTTTAACCAAAATATGTAAATAAGCCTGGTAAGATGTCTTGTTATCTGAATCAAAGACACTAGCTCCTATAAGAATCTATACTTCTCCACTTTTGAAGTTGACGCAAATACTATCCTGAATTTTGCATATGAATAAAACATTCAATATTTAGTAGCGGGTAATCTACCTAATTTTCTCTTAACATGCACTTTCAATGTCTAATATTACCTGTAAATTATTTTACACTCTAATGATATATCAATTGTCTAACAGTTATGATGAATTTCAGATTTTTTGTTCACATAGGCTTGGAATACCTGTTCACAACTTGGATTTGTTTCCTGCTATATAAAGAATATGATAATGTAGCATCAATGAGATTGCAGTTCTTGGCATCACAACGCCGGAGTGTCGAGCAGTTCACTGTGAGTGGAAAGTTTTAACTCATTTTTAACAAAGGACTTAAATTAAGAATGTTACTAGCTGCCACTTTAAGGGTGTGTCTGGTTGGGGGGGAGGAAAGCCCCCTCCCCTCTCCTCATTTGGTTAGGAGGAGGGGAGCCCCTCCCCTCCCCTCCCCTCCAAAGCCTTCCCTCCAAATTGGGGGGGAGCTCCCCTCCCTCCCCTCCCCTCAAACCAAACAGACCCTAAACAGGCATCTATTGGAGTTTCTACGAGGCATATTTTTTAAGTCTTAGGATCATGTGCTTGCTGCAGGTTGTTGTCAGGAATATCCCTCATATATCTGGTCGTTCAGTATCAGATGCTGTGGATAACTTCTTTCAGAGGAATCACCCAAATCACTATATTGGTCACCAGGTAATTAATAGCTTAAATACTGGCGTGGGGAATAATTTGCGCAGAAATTGACGAATGATGAGTTGATAACTCTATAGGTGGTGTTCAAATTGATGTGTTTCAATCCAGTGGAATTTTTCCCCATTATATCCTTTTTATAAATTATAATTTACCCATTCTTTGTTCAGGCTGTCTACAATGCCAACAAATTTGCTAAATTTGTAAGGAGAAGAGATAGGCTTCAAAATTGGCTGGATTATTACCAGCTTAAGTTTGAAAGGCATCCTGACAAGAGGCCAACTGTGAAGGTGAGTCCTTGCTGTGAACTTAAAGCATTTCTTTAGGTCTGTCAATAACAATTGCTCTTCAGGACCAGCATCTGATAATGTTAATGCTTCTGAATTTTTAGACAGGATTCTTTGGGCTTTTGGGTGGAAAAGTTGATGCTATTGAGTACTACAAAAAGCTGATTAAGGATCTTGATAAAAAAGTAAGTGATGATTGTTTCTTTCTTTAGCAATTTGTTCATTCTTTATTTTTTTTCCTCCTATATACATTTTCTTTTCAAGTAGTGTCCAGTGCAATTCCTTCTGATACTTGATTTTCCCCACCTCCTTCTGTTGAGCTACCCTAATATATCTACATTCCACACTGTTGATTTGAGCAGATGACATTGGAGCGCCAGAAAATTATAAAAGATCCAAAATCTATTTTACCAGTTGCTTTTCTTTCATTTGATTCTCGTTGGGGAGCAGCAGTCTGTGCACAGACACAACAAAATAAGAATCCCACACTGTGGTTGACAAATTGGGCTCCAGAACCTCGTGATGTGCATTGGCAAAACTTGGCCATACCATTTTTCTCTTTAACCATTCGAAAATTCATAATATCCATGGCAGTGTTTGCCTTGGTATTCTTCTACATGATCCCCATTGCTTTTGTGCAATCCCTTGCAAATTTGGAGGGTCTTGAAAGAGTTGCTCCTTTTCTCAGACCAGTAATAGAATTGTAAGTCAATTTGGTCTATTTTGAAAATATGTTGGAGAAGCTCATTACGATTCCATTGGTCGATTTCTGTACTTTCTGGATTCCATCGTTAAATTTCTGAACTCTTTCCATGCACAATATTATCTGTAAATTTTGGCTGGAATCTCAATGTTATGCAGTATGTACACCAATAGAGCATCAAACTTCACTTTTATTACATCTTAGCGTAAAAGGATTATTCTTTCTGCAGCTCATATTCTCACAATTACTAAACAAGTTTCTCTAGTATACTGAGTTATTAATTAACCCATATTTCGGTATCCCTTTGCCTTCATCTCCCTTCCCCCCCGCCCCAAAAAAAAAATTAAAAAATACTGCCCCTGCTTTGTGACTAAAAACATGATGAACTGATGAGAATACTTTTTCCATGTATCTTAGCTATATCCATTTATAGGTCTTGTTGAGAAGTTTACTTCACCTTTACTTTCCTCTAGCCTCCTGATTCACAGGTAGGGTTAATAATCAGATTCTAATATTAAATTACATAGTCAACGAGGTTCAATTTAGCATTTGATTAGGTTATTGAGTTTATAAAGTTGTGCTTAATACTGATGCTAGGAATTGACTAGTTCACGCATTCTTTTGGACCGAACTTGTTGAGACATTCTGACTCTTAGGTTTTTCATCATGATTCATGATCAGGCCACAATTATCTTGCTCTTAACCTCGCGAGGTTTTGGTTGCATTTGGCAGGAAATTCATCAAGTCCTTTCTTCAAGGTTTTCTTCCTGGTCTGGCTCTCAAAATATTTCTGTATATCCTTCCGACAGTTCTGTTGATCATGTCAAAAATCGAGGGGCATATTGCATTGTCAACTCTGGAGCGGAGAGCTGCTGCAAAATATTATTATTTTATGCTTGTGAATGTGTTCTTGGGAAGCATAGTGACTGGGACTGCATTTGAGCAATTGCATGCCTTCCTTCACCAATCGCCCACAGAGTAAATCTTCTATACCATTAATTCTTTTGACTGTCTCTACTATTCCATATGTTCAAACCTTTTCCATTGGACTTTACAATTATTGAATCAGTACTTTTTTTTTGTTGGAAAATACAACTTTTAGTTGTTGAACTTTTTTTCAATTATCAGTTTTGTCTTTAAATTTTGAATTGAAATAACTAAGTTCTTATAGTTTCTTGACTTAGAACAACTTTGCCCTTGTAATTTTTTTACTTGGTACAATTTATTCCCCATAATTCCTTAACTCAACAAAATATAAGGATTGAGTTGTATTAAGTCAAAGCTCAATGACTAAATCAATAATTGAAAGAAAGTGTTGGGACTAAAAGTTATATTATCCTCCTTTTCCTTAAAAAAACTTTAGTTGCCATTCTAATCATTTTTAAATGTCAGTCTTGACCATGTAATGGAGTTCAATGTGACTAATTTGTGTGCGTCCTGGACTGATTATAGAATCCCTAGAACTATTGGAGTTTCCATTCCCATGAAGGCTACGTTTTTTATGACATACATCATGGTTGATGGCTGGGCTGGAATTGCTGGTGAGATTCTCAGATTGAAGCCATTGGTTATATATCATCTCAAGAACATGTTCTTAGTTAAAACAGAAAGAGACAGAGAGAAGGCAATGGACCCTGGGAGCGTGGACTTCAAGGAGGCGATTCCAAGTCTACAGCTATACTTCCTTCTCGGTATTGTGTATGCTGTGGTGACACCAATCCTCCTTCCTTTCATACTGGTCTTCTTTGCCCTGGCATATTTGGTATATCGCCATCAGGTCAGCTAATTTACTAGCAATCTCTCATAACAAACTTCTGTTTTTACTGAGTAATTTGGATTTACACACAAGCCAATTGTTGTTTCCTAAAAGAATTAGGATTTATGCACATAACCACTCATCTCAAAATGAAAAATAATAATTGGGTGTTTTATTTTTCAGAATATTTTGTGCGTTGAAACTGCAGAATGATGCATAAATAAGCACACTAAAACTTGTGTTTGTTAGAATCTAGTGGCTAGATGGAAATATATTCCCAATTTTTTTTAAAAAAAATAAATATTGAAGAATTTGAAATTAGAAGATTAATTGGAACTGATTGGACGTTGGAGAACATAATAGACAACCATAAGAAATGCAGTAACAATTAGATAAAAGGCCATGGCTGTTATGTCCGGAAGGAATAAGCCAGACATCAGATGTTCTCTCTGGTTATGGACATTCAATATCACTTTTTTTTTCTCCCTTCAAATGTAATTATAGAAAGGTCAACACCAGCATTTTATGGCATATTAACCGTATATAATGCTATTTGGTGCTCAACTATGCAGATAATTAATGTCTACAATCAACAATATGAAAGTGCTGCTGCATTTTGGCCACATGTTCATAGCCGTATTATAGCAAGCTTGCTAATATCTCAGCTTCTTCTGTTGGGTCTGCTGAGCACAAAAGAAGCAGCCAAATCTACACCTTTGCTTGTAATCTTACCTGTACTAACATTAGTATTCCACAAGTATTGTAAGAATCGTTTCGAGCCGGCTTTTAGGAAGTATCCGCTTGAGGTAAGACGTGGATCCTGCAAAAGGCAAATCTGCCTGAGATCTTTTGCTATAATTTTTGTTCTTGTTTTGCTTTGAAGGTGAAAAAGTTATTAGATAGATCATAGCTTGATCTACCTGTCTTTTATACATAATGATCCACCTAATAACCTTTTGGGTGGGGGGGGGGGGGAGTAAGCGTGGTCTACAAAGAATGGATAAACCTAGCAAATCAAGAAAAGACATCTATGACTTTGACACATTATTTTTCTTTTTCCAGTACTGAAAATCAATTTCTCTGGGTATTTTCAGGAAGCAATGGCAAAGGATATACTGGAGAAAACCGCAGAGCCTAACCTGAACATCAAGGCATACCTGGCCGACGCATACTTGCATCCGATCTTCCGGTCATTCGAGGTAGAGGAAGAAGAGCTTGTTCAAGTCAGAGTAGACAAACATCAAGCTCAGGGGACCGCTTCCCCATCAAGTGAGCTCAGTTCTCCTTCCCCTCAACATGCTCATCAACCCTCTCCTCCTCACTATGACTATACTGCATCACCGCCACAGGCCTATTATTATCGCCCATCTTCCCCTCCACAGTATGTTTATCACTATCAAGTTGAACCTTGAAGCTAATCAATCTGAATCTTCTACATCCGTAAAAGCGAATGCATATCATTAAAATGATGATAAGATGAGATGTTAAGCATGAAGATGGGGTCTGAGTTTTATGTACAGTCACATTCTTTTGTACTGCTTTCTCTTCAAATGCATGGGTGTAGAAGATTAAATCTGAAAGCAAACCCAGTCAATGTTGCAAAGAATCCTAACTCATCATTTCTTAGTTACTGAGAGACTTAGTTGTGTATTCCGGTTTGCATTCCTTGTGATTGCTATTATTATTATTATTATTATTATTATTATTATTATTATTTTAAATGTAAATGATATGGCTTCTCTTTACCCGTGGGATTTATTTATTTATTTATTTATTTATTTATTTTTTGCTGGGTTGAAAATTTGGCCGAAGTAAGGAAGGATGGTCTTACCTGATCAAGTCACTCAAAGAAGTGGTGTTTATTGTGTTTCTTCATGTAAAGCAATCAAGGAATGTTGATAGTAAGACTAATGTTTTCAGAGCCGGAGTAGATATTGAATTGAAAATGCCAGCAATTCAAGATTCGCATGGTCCAATCGGGTTGGACCAATGGTCGAACCGGTGAAGCAGAAATTAAATTTTTAAAAAAATTATATATGCATATAATAATCTAAATATAAGAAATGAATATGAAATTGTTATTTAATTTAAAAATAAAATCAAATATTTTAAATTTATCATGACTTAACAAACCACATGATGCAACATAACATAAAAAATTAGTCATTTTTAAAAAATTGATAAAAAATTAAAAAAGGTATTTTTTGAACAATTCTATTTTTGAAAAAATGTATTTGGTTTCTGTTCTGATTGTTTGTTCAAAGTGGTCCAACTCTTCAAATGATTTTTTCATGCTAATCAAGCTAAAATTCAGACTGGTTGACGGTTTGATCATCTAGTTTGATTCAATTTGTTAATCATTGAGTAAGACAATAGTTATTCACTTTTTTTTTAAGCTGTTTATTGGTAACTATATATTAGATATGTTAAATATATAGCCTTATTAAAAATACAGTTATTTTTTAAAAAATTATTCCTGTTAACTTGGTTCTAGAGAAATGCACATCCACCTTATCTGACCAAGCAGTCTTACAAGCAATAAGTACACTAACAAATGCGTATATTGTTTGTGCGTAAAGTTATAACAGTATTTATTAAGATATTCTTAATAATAAGTCGAAAAAATAAAAGATAGATATTCAAAAAAAATAATCGTATATTCAATTTTACAGTCTCATACGTGATATTTTTAAATTTAGAGTTAAGAGGCAATTTTAAAACAAACTAGTGTGGTGTTTATGCTTCATGCGAAATTTGATTGCATGTTTCATCAAATGGCAAGTTGACCTTCTGCTGAAGAACTCACAACATGACAAAGAAGATTTGAACTGACGTTGAAATAAGAACTTGCATTTAATACTTGTTGTGTCCATATGATTATTTTTAATAAAAAAATGACGGTAAATAATTTTTAAGAAAATATTGTGATGCACGAGGAGAGAGAAATGGGAGCCTCATGAGTGGTGGGCCCCACACCCACCCTCCTTTGTTTTTCTCTCATTTCACGCCGGCTGCTTGCCTGCAAGTGCGACAAAGGAGAAAAAATTCCGTCTGAATTATATCAAAATTTGGAGATTTCGAATTTTATGATTTTATTTTTCAACATTTAATCATTGTTATTAGAAACTAACAATTATAAGATAAATGTTATCCGAACAGGTTGCGCCCAGGTTTACTTCCATTTGTAACCGTCGAAAGTCGCTAAACGTAAAAGGAATTGTGAAATTCGTTCTCTTTTATCTGGACCTTCGAGTTCCACCTGTCCACTTTCGCGCCGTTTTCATGGCGTACTCTCTTACCACGCACCCCGCTTTTTCTATTTCTGTCCGCAGTCATGACTATCCAAAATTCTATCTCCCAACTCATTCCGGACCACTCCTGACTTCTTTTGTCTTCGTCAATGTGTTTCGATGCTCCTAAAAGCGATCCTTCACGCAAAACTCAGGCGTACCCAATAAATTTCCTGCACTCAATTTCAGGTTCCTCCTATGGCTACCCATGAATGTCTCATTAGCAGAGAAGTTTCGACAAAATCAGACGAGACTGAGAGTCAGAACACTTCCACAGTGAGCCAAACTGTACGTCCATACTCTACTCTTCGTTGTTTGATTACGTTGGCGGGGTTTAAATTTAAATTATTTTTATGTTCTTTAATCGAGTGTGTTTCAGGTGTTTGGGGTTCTGCACTTGATCACCTCCCTCAGTCTTATTCTCGCGATTGATGTTTTTTTGAAGAAATTCTTCACGGCGGCCGCTATTCAGTTCCCGAGCGCATTATTTGGGATGTTCTGTATATTTTCTGCTTTGGTGGTTCTCGATTGTACCTTGCCGTCTGCAGCTATGGCCTTGATGAAGTTCTTTGAACCGGCGTTTATGTTCATTCAAAGATGGCTCCCGTTGTTCTACGTTCCACCGTTGGTTATTTTGCCTCTTTCTATTAAAGATATTCCAGCTGCTTCTGGCATCAAGATTGGCTTTATTATAGGTAGCTGCTTACTTTTGCCTTGTACTAGTTTCTTCCATCGTGTGTAGAGTCTCACGTGAAAATCATTAGTTCAGCTACAGCCACTGTTTACTGGAAATTACTTTTGTGGCTTACATATCTATCAAGTATTATAAAAGTTTCCATTTCGTGCCTCTAGTTTTGATTGAGTCATTGTTGTCTTTCAATAATATGTAATAATGATGTTCTTTTATTTTACTTTTAAGATAAAGCGTTTTAATGATACAGTGAATTCTGTTGTGTAGACGTAGTTTCAGCTTTCAGGCTTGCTGGATGATGGATTGATGGGTAACCCAAGTGAGATCATTAGTTTAGTGATCTCCATTTCATAATCATTTTCCTCATAAATTTAAGCAAAATTTATTGTGGTCTTACTTGATTACTTGTCATCTAGCAAGTCCAAGGTGCTCAAATTACATCCATGGATCAAACACGAGCTGACAAGTTCATCATTCTTTTTTTTTTTACTATACCAGAAACAGAGCAACGAAGAAAGGACTTAATTGCATTATTTCTAAATGCTGAAGGACAACATTGACTCAATAAGGAATGGAGGGATCAAATTTCAAGATTTACAATACTAGAACTAAAAGTGTCTTATAATATTGATTTTAATAGTGTGACAACTGGTTCAGGGTTTTTTCTTATTTGAAGATCCCTTTTCTTTTAAAAACTTACATCCCCTATTTGATGTGTCTGTGTTGGACAAATTGTGTTTTCCTTTCAATTTCATGTTGGTATCTGTTTGTATCGAGCAGTTGGAGGATGGCTGGCTACACTTTGTGTTGCTGGTTTCACAGCTCTGGCTATAAGAAAAGCTGTAAAGACAGAAATGATAGATGCTGAGCCTATGCAAAAGCCATCTCCATTTTCTTCCATTGAAATGTGGGCTTGGACTGGGGTTTTCCTTATATCACTAGTTGTTGCATTTCTTAACCCAACAGCATTGGGAACTCATGCTAGAACATGCCTTCCCTTCTTGCTTGCTTCCAACGTGTCAGGCTACATGCTTGGTTCCAGGTAAATTTGTTTTTTTTTCCTCAATTAGTGCATATTAACAGCACTATTATATTTTTTTCATTTGTTTGTTTAGGGATAAATATAAAAAACAAATCCAAATGTTGTCATGTCGCATGTTATATGCATTTAGGTAAAGAACCATTATTTTTATGAATTGAAGCTGCTTTTATGGAAGTTTATCCTGTCTTAAAATGTTTCATTTCCAGGCTTCCATCAAGTGTGAGGATGGTCTTCCATCCAATTATTTGTTGTACGCTATCTGCAGATCTGACAGCATTGGCTTTTGGATATCTCTCTAAGTTAGGCTTCGAACCCGTTCTAGGTATTCTTGAAAATTAACCGTTTAATTCTCTATATCAGGAGTTGTTCTGTTGTTGGCTGCCATCTTCTTGCAGGAATGTATTTTGATTTCAGTAATACCAGTAAGAAACACTGATTTCAACAGTCGATATCTAAGCATTGGACATCAGATGCCAAATTGAACACTGAAGAGTTTGGATCTAGTTCATTAAACTTCTTGCTACTTCATCAAATATTAAACTTCTTGATATTGAGCAACGCTCAACTCTTTTGGTTTTATTTACAAGCCAAGTATACTTTTTTGCTGGGAATGGTGCAAATTGACAGAAGCTACTAGGTAATGTTCTAGGTTGGTTCAAAATTTTGTTCTATGGTTGGTTCAAAATTTTAAAAGTATGAACCTGTCCTATACGAGGGACAGACTCTAAAACACCTGATGTCATATTAAGGCCCCTTTGAAGATGCCAATGCTGTATTGTTGGACAATTTAGTCAAGATGGCATTTCTAATAGTTATATTCATAAGAGAATTGCCTTAGGTCACAGTGGAAGCCGTGTCTGGGAGAAGTTTTTGTCTTCGCAGAGCTGAGATGAGATTAGCAATCAAAACATATTTATATACAGAATCTATATCTTTATATTGTATAAATCTATAGCAAGTTGTGCTGTTATGAGCCGTGAAGAGGGCAACTTGTTATAAGGTACTCCCTGCAATGCATGGGCTATCTAGTTATAAATTACGAGGAAAGGCATTTAATATAATGAGAATGGATCTAATACTGGATGGTAAATCGAGTGACAGTTCTTCAGGTTGATTGTCTGAAATAAAAACCAAAATCAATGTCCCCTGTCTCTAGCCATATGAACAACGCGGTTCTTTTCTCCATTCAACTCTTCTCTTCAAATGTTAGTTTGATTCTTCTTTCTATGTACACAGGATATTATCTTACAAATACATCCTCTAATCCGGGAGCTGGTGACATTCTAACGTCATTTTTGGGTTCTGTTATTCTCTCTTTTGCTTTCTCTATGTTCAAACAAAGAAAGGTAACTATCCAATTTTCTCAGTAATTAAATCCAAAAAATGAAGTGAATGACTTGATATTTTCTCTTCACTGTGCTAGCTATTTTCGATTTTTGGCTGCTGGGCACAGTGTTTGATAGTGAACTATGGTGCTATCTTGAATAAATGTGAATACAAACTGTAGTTACTCGCAGCCTTTCCTTATACTCACCCATTGTGTACGTTGCCTGTCATTTAAGTAGTAATGGTATTAGTTTATTAAAAGAAGCCTGCTATAAATACAAACACGAAATCATGGCAACGCCATTAAGTATTAATTGATTTATCTGTTATTCAGCTTATAAAAAGGCATGCAGCTGAGATTTTCACCTCTGTCATAGTCTCAACAGTATTCTCATTGTACTCAACTGCTCTCGTTGGACGTCTTGCTGGGTTAGAGCCATCTTTAACAGTGTCAATACTACCCAGATGTATAACAGTTGCTTTGGCCCTTAGCATCATATCGTTTTTTGAAGGTAAATGTTGTATACTCACAGCAGCTAAATTTGAATTCTACAATACGTAGATTTATGTGCGCTTGGGTCCTATTACATAAATTTTGCCATAATTTCTTGCAGGTGCCAACTCATCTCTCACAGCAGCTGTGGTGGTTTTAACTGGTCTAGTTGGAGCCAATTTTGTGCAAGCAACACTTGATAAACTTCGTTTTCGCGATCCAATTGCTCGAGGAATTGCAACTGCATCTAGGTATCTTTTGAATTTTAGATCACCCACTTGACCAAGAAAATCTATGGCATTCATTACCATACCAACCTGTACTTCCAGTTTCTCATTAGCAGCATTAGTTGAGGTTATTAGTACTCTTACTCTGTAGGGAATTCATTTAGGAAAGATAGTGTTCATTTTATTTTCTTCTCAGTGCACTTTGGCTTATTTTCCAGTTGTTTGTTGTGTTGTTGATCGTGACAGTGCCCATGGTCTAGGAACCGCAGCATTGTCTGCCAAGGAACCTGAGGCACTCCCATTTTGTGCAATTGCTTATGCTCTGAATGGTATCTTTGGCACTACACTTTGCTCTATTCCAGCTGTCAGACACAGCTTGCTCGCAATTGTTGGCTGACACTCCGAGTTGTATGTGTCACAAGGAAGCACATGCCATTCCTTGACAGAATTTTTCATCCCTCAAAATGCCATAACATGTCCCATTGTATGTATTGACTATTGAGCCATAGTAAGAATCTCTACTTCATTTAAAAGGGTGCGTGCATGGCTTTGAGGAGCATTAGACCCGAAATTGGAGTTAAATACAATGAAAAAGCAAAATAAAAGTCAATCCACAAAAATGTATTACGTCTAGCATTTCATCCATTGTTGTGCATTTTTAATAGGAGAAATAGCACTAAAGATCCTAGAAACACACATAATTGCAATTTGGGCCTGAAAATGTTTGATATTGCACTGTAGGCTTTAAGGCTCTTATTGCAATTTTTCTTGAGATCAAAAGTATATTTTTTCCTTTTGTTTGCTTTGAATTCAAAAAACCCTTGTGAATTCATGCAAAACACAACATCTACTATGTACAAGATAATGTTCAACTAAAAGTTTATGCCTTTCTAGTATTTCAGTAGCCTAGGCTCAATAAAATGAATAGCTTAGGCAAATCATTCGCAATACAATATTCACTATGCATAAAATAATGCTTATGTATGTTCAACTCAATCTATACCTTTTCAATATCTCAGTAGCCTAAGCTCAACAAAATAGACAACTTAGGCATGTTATGCACAACATAACATCTACTATGTACAAGATAATGTTCATGTATGTTCAACTTAAAGTTCATGATGTTCTAATATTTTTGGAGCTTAGGCTAAACAAAATAGATGACTTATGTAGACTGTATGCAACACAATATCCATTATGCAAAAGATAATGGTTATGTATGTTCAACTCAAAGTCCATGCCTTTCCAGTATTAAGAAGGACGATTATATCATATATGAATAATTTCATGTTGGTATTGGTCTAGCTACTAAAATAAGTACCCACATAAAATTTGACATGATATTTCAAGTATAATATATACAAAAAGTTAGCAACTATATTTAAAACATTTAACAGTTACTTCTCTATATACAAACAAAAAATACATATTATTTTCAATTATTTGAAAAATATTATTTAGGAATGCTTCCATATACATAATTATAGTTGCCTATGTACAAAAAAAAAACAATGTGACTACTTCTCAAACTGGGTTAGGATTTTTGCATGTTTTGGGACTGTGTCCAACTTTCCCATATTTTAAACAATGATAATTTTTTTTATCTTAAAATTGAAACTCTATCTTTCTTGTTCATGACCTTCTAAGAGGACGGCTGGTTAAAGGAGGTTGGAAAAAAAGTTTTGTGATAAGTTATTTGTCAATATTGTTGTATCAGTAAGCTAGACTTAACAAAATACAAAAGTAAGCAAATAATGTACAATATAATATTCATTATGCACAACATAAAATTCATATATTCTCGATTAAAAGTCTATATAATTCTAATTTATTAGTATGTTAGGTTTAACAAAATGCTCAAGTTAGGTAAACAATGAGTAACACAAAATCTATTATGCATAATATAAGGTTCATATATTCTTAACTAAAAGTCCATGCGCTTCTAGTTTATCAATAGATTAGGCTTAACAAAATATTCAATTTAAGCAAATAATATACAGCACAATATCTACTATGCACAAGGTTCATATATTCTCAATTGAAAGTTCATACGATTTCGGTTTATCAGTAGGTTAGGCTTAATAGAATGCTCAAGTGAGACAAATAATATACAATACAATATTTACTATGCACAACACAAGCTAAAATTCATGTATTCTCAATTGAAAGTCCATGCGATTTCAATTTATCACTATACTAGACTTAACAAAATGCGTAACTTAACATTCAACGATAACAATTCAAAGTTAGTTTTTGTACAACAAATATTTCAACATTTCTAATAGTAGATTTTATTCATATTAGGTTATATTTTATTCAATTCACATGTTAAAGCTCAATATGAATAAGTCAACAATTATCATTGTACAACAACTAATTGACTTAAAAACTTTTACAGCCAACTTAATAGTTCAACAACCTTTAGCTTATATCAATAGTAAAATTACAACCAAAATTCCAACCGAAGGTTTTCTCATCCAACTAGATATTTGGCTGAAGTTTAACTATTTTGGATAATCCTCTCATCAATTTATGCAGGGCTAAAAAGCCAGTAAGCTCGTTCTATCACTCTCTGCTTGTGGTTCGATGAAGAAAACATGGCCAAGTAATAAGCAATCAACAACAACAAATAATAAACGTCAACAAAACATTACATCACTCTTTAGTTGTGGTTCAATAGTTAGCTCTTTCCTGTTTCAGCATAAAAATGGTGGATAGCATCTTTAATCAAAGCTCAACAGATAAATTTTCAACTGAAGCACTGTTTAAGATGGAGGAATTTTAAAATCTATGCACACTCAAAAGTTACTCCTCATTATTCGAGTTGAGAAACTTTAGCATCCTCCGACTGAGTAGCCTTCCTGCATTTTTCGTAAGTCACACCACTCTTTGTTTGTTCATTTCCATTTCTTTTCATAAAGGGTAAGATTGTATTTTTGGTGTGAAAAAAATTGCAATAAAGGTCTCAAGGCCTGCTACGTAATATCAATTTTTTTTTCAGGCCTAAAATATAATAATGTATTTTTTAGGGCTTTTAATGCGATTCTCCCTTTTTAATAACCTATCATTTGGAAAATTAATAATTTAGAGTTCTCATTAGTTTTGGCACTCCTTAATTTTAGACTTCATCTAAGTTTAATAACTCATATTTTTATGAAGTTTTTATCCAATTATCTACTAGTGCTGGGTGGGATAATTTTGTCAGTATCATTGACATGTCAGACAAGACGGTGAAACATATGTAGTTATGTTGTTCCTCCTCAATCTCTAGCCAAGCAAGTTTTAAATCTCTGTTAAAAAATGAGTTCATATCTAATATCTAATTGTTCAAGACACTTATATTATATATATATATATATATATATATAAAGAAATTAAACAAAGGCAGGGCTAGAGTATGTCCAGTTGAGTCAGCTTGCCATTTGAATCCTAGGACTAAATTTTAATGTTTAGAAAGTAGAGGAGTGATTTGTAAGATGATTAACTATAAGAACTAAATTAAAATGTTAGAAAAATTATAGGTTGCAAAGTATAAATATTAATAACTAATAATTAATAATATCAACAATTTCTAAAATGTTTAACATAATTTATTAATATATTTAACATAATTTATTTTTATAATATGTATATAAAATTTATCCATATATAATATAAAAAAATTGATAAAATTAATGACTCCATGACTTTTCTTTTCCCTTCCTAATTATAATAAAAAATAATTTATTTTTCTTTTGTTTTTTTTGTCCTTTCAATGATGAAAAGAATGGATTGGTTCTTGTCCTGCGGAAGCCCTAGCATAGATGATTTTGACGCATGAAGTTAGGAACCTGGACACCGCCTTGGATAGTGGATTCCTGGCTCCGTTAGTTATTTCCGCCTTGGGTGAGCATCTCACTTGCCGTTGTTTACACTGTTGCTCGTTCAGTTTTCTTCCTCCCTTAGATTTTGTGTTCACTTTTCCATTCCATGTAATTGTTGTTTTTATGTATTAATCCAGCTTTATTCTAAAAGTGGGAAGAAGGAAGTCGAACAAGAAAATGTTCTTCCATATCGTTTTGGAGCGGAATATGCAGTTACATCCTCGTTACTTTGGTCGTAACCTTCGCGATAATCTTGTTGCCAAGCTTATGAAAGATGTGGAAGGAACTTGCAGGTCAGTTTTGGATTTTTTCTTTCTTTCTTTCTGTCTCTTTTTCTATTCCCCTTAAATTACATGGTAGAAAAAAAATTGAAAAGGAAAAGGAACTTTGCTTCATGTCCAGTGATATGGATCTCATCTTAGTGGCCCGAATGTTCATAAAATCAAAAGCATTTGAAAACGCTTTATTAATTGCATCGGAGTGTTAGCTTTGTGATTGATTGATTGATTAAGAATGAAACTAAACATGAGAAAAACAGTTATTCCTGCGAACTTCTAATTTGGAGATGTCATATTTTGATTTTTACAGTGGTCGACATGGATTTGTAGTTGCGGTCACCGGAATAGAAAATATTGGGAAAGGGTTAATTCGCGATGGAACTGGGTTTGTGACGTTTCCTGTAAAGTACCAGTGTGTTGTCTTCAGACCATTTAAGGGGGAAATTTTAGAAGCAGTTGTTACTATGGTGAACAAGGTGGATATTCTAACTTTGTGTGTAGGGTAATTTCACACAATATAGTGTGCAAATAATGGTTCTTAACGGTTCATTGAGTTATTGTTGGCCTTTTGGACCCTGTACAGATGGGATTTTTTGCTGAGGCTGGGCCTGTCCAAATTTTTGTCTCCAACCATGTAAGGCTTGTGTACTTTATATAACCTTCTGTCAAGAGATTTTCTTTGTCATCTGCACGTTAAACTGTTCGTCCTTAATGAAAATTATGTGTAATCATACATCAGTTGGACCATTGGAATGGCACAAGTTATTGGAGTAGTCAAAATTAGTTTTGAGAAGTTTTGGTTGAAATGAATTGGATGTAGAGTTTACAACCGGAAATGCTTTAAGTTCGAATCCCTTTTTGCTTCTGTTACAATTCTGTCTTGTCCTTCATTTCAGTTGATTCCAGATGATATGGAGTTCCAATCAGGAGACATGCCAAATTATACTACTTCAGATGGATCAGTATGTTTTCACAAGTTCTCTTTCTTTCTTGTTAACTTAAAAAAGGAACTAGTCTTTGCTTTTAGTTAGTACTGTAATACATGCTTTAGTGTTAACCACTTGGTCTCTTGCAGGTTAAGATTCAGAAAGATAGTGAAGTGAGACTAAAGATTATTGGTACTCGAGTGGACGCCACTGAAATTGTATGCCTTTATTGCATTTTGTATTGTCTCTGATAAATGTTGAGTTAAGCAGATCTATATATGCTAAACTTTTCATTGGGAAATATGAGTTAATAGGGTATTAGAATTTCTAATGGATATATTTCTAATGGTTGTGAGCTTTGGATCTCCCTGCAAAAGACCTTAAAATCGAGAACAGAGGCTTTCATCGGAGTTTATTTGAAGTATAGCCTTTTGCTCATGTGCAAATCACTGGCTTTAAATCTTGGCTACTGCACTATAACTTTAGCCTTAAGATACAGAAAACACCTAATTTTGTCTTGAAACAATGAGCAGACATTACTCTATTTCTTTAAGAATCTCTAATTAACGTTCTCTAGTATGCTTCATCTGCAACGATCGTCTTGTAAGCTGTTTGCCCGAAAACCTAATCATTTTACGTTTTTTCCAGTTTTTGGTATTCTAAAAGACAAGTGCAGAACTCTTAAATTACTTCTGTCATTGGATATGGGATATATATCAGGCTTTATGCTCCATTGTGGCTTTCTGGAATTAACTTATCTAATTCCATGCGTGACTTTTTCTTTGGCAGTTCTGCATCGGTACCATAAAAGATGATTTTCTGGGCGTGATCAACGACCCTGCAACAATCTAGATGCACCTGCTCTGCCTTCTATGGCACTCTAGCGCATATACTTTTCATGGGGTGGATTGTGACACCAGAAGTCTGATCTGTATTGTACTATAGATATAGATTCCTATTTTAGTTTTAGGTTATCACTAGATCAAAAATCTTACTAGCCAATCTTGCCGCTTCTATATTCATTGAGCTGGAAATTGATCAGTATAAACTTTTGCACAGGTTGAAAATTTGGAGTACATGTGCAATTTTCATTGAAGTACCTCTTTATCGTATTGGCATAGTGGATGGGTCGGAGCCGGAGACCAACCAAAATTTTGAGTGTGGATTCAACATTGTAATCAGTGCATTATTTTTCATCCTTATTGATAAAGAATGCAGAAGCAAAATTGTGTTAGTTTAGGGATAGAATTTTGAAACAATAAAAATACAAGAACAAAAAAAAATGAGTGAAATTTATGACCAAAAAAATTGAATTAAATAATGGGATAATAATTAAAAAAAAAATTTAGAGCACTTGTCTTTAGTAACTCAAAACTTTGAAAGACATCATCAGAGTTAATTGTATTTTTTATCACATTTGTTTTTCATATGAAATGTTATCATAGAATGCTAAGACTTATTAAAGTTATATATTTTAAAATAAATAATTTTATTTAATTTTTCTTTGTTTTATAAAAAGAAGCATGCCTAATATATGTAGGTTCATAAAGAAAATTATTTTTAAAATTAAAATCTTAATTTTTTAATATTAAAAGGAGAACAAAAATAATATAAAATAAAGAAAAAAATATTTAATCACATAATTTAGAAGATGTGATCCTAAAATTATAGAATTATAAAATTTAAAAAATAATATAATTAATTTTTATTTTTGATTAGATTCAAAATAAAAAATTATAATTAGTCTTGTTTTTTAAAAAAGAGAGTGAATTTAAAGAATCACTAAATTAGAAAACAATTAAAGAGACAATTAAGGGATTATAAAAGATTTAAAATCATATCATCTTTTGAACTCTTCATTAAAGTTTCATGCCTCCTTACTTATAAAAGCTTCATTTATAGTTTTTCTTATATTGGGTTAGGATTTGCACTTCTTAAGCTTAGTTTTTTATAAATTTAGGCTTGTGACACACTTTTTTTATAAAGTGAACCTTCTAAATTGATGTTTATTTCAACATTCATGTCCATACACATGAATGGGCCATTTGAACAGCCATTTGGGCTTGAATAAGGTTCGTTCAGGTTCTAAAACTTCCATGGTCCATTAGGGAATGCATTTGGCCCCCAATTTAACATATTAAAGTTTCATTGGACTCCTCTGTATGTATATAACAGCATTGGCCCTTCAACAAGTTGGAAATTGACCCATGGTGGCTTTAGACGTAGCCTATCATGTGCTATGTTATATTTCACGCATGTAATTATCCATGTTAACTTACATGCAATCACTCATGTGGTCCTTTTATATTTTTGAGTCACTGATTGATTGTTGGCCTCTTAACCTTTTTCACCACTTGTGCATCGTGGGTATCTTGGCCTTTTTGAGCTTGCTAGACATGTAGGGCTCGTATTCTATCACTTACGTTTCATTTGAAGGGGCTATTTTTTTTTTTTTTTGCCAACATTTTAGGTACTAAATGGGCGCTTAGACTTTCAAGAAATTTCGCTCCTACCCAATGTTTGTCACATTCGTAGGAGCATAATGTCTGATATTCTCGGAAAACAGTATTTCTAGATCAAGTTTTCTTTAGGCAATTTTAGGAGTTATTTTCTTATACAACCTAACAATTTGAACGCATTGGCTTGCAAGGTAGTGAGATTTTAGAGCTTCCACGTATGACTAAATTATAATATTGAATTTAAAAAATGTTTAATAGTAAGCCAAGAATAATAACAAGTATATCAATATATCCATGCAAAACCTATTGCAGATCATAATATTTATAAGCAACGAACAGTGTAAAACCATTCGATATATTTCATGTAATTATAAGAAAACGTGTTTAATTACTTTTAAAATAATGTGCTTTATTGTTAAACTCTGTCTGATATACATGAAAACATGTGTAATTATTTTAAAATTGTAAATTTTTATCAACTTAAATTAAAAACGGATTTACTAATCATAATTCTACTTCAGTGATTTTGATGTCTAGTTTAAGGTCCCTTTTCTTTTAATAACCGTCGTCCTAAAAATTAATTACATTTGTAAAGGCCATGTCATAATAATCGTGATTCGTGAATGCTTAGGTGAAGATAAAGGAGAGTGCAACGTCCAGGTGGTGAAAGAGTAAAAACTAGTGGTGGAAAGCAAAAGGAGGAGATTTAGCCATCCCACCACGTGTTCGAATGGCATTTTCTTCTTCCTCTTCTTCCAATTTTATGGGTTCCTGCGTCTGAGTTGGAACCCCTGAAGGAGGATTTGCATGCAGCACCATTTCGCTGTATCTCCCTCCTTCGTCGCCTCCAACGTAGTCTTCCTCTCTCTCCTTTTAACCTCCTCCTTCTTCCCTTGCTTCTCTGGGTCACCCGCTTCCTTCGCCCCTGAACCTGGGTTCTTTTTCCCCTGGAATCCAGGTCTGCTTTGCTTTGCTTTGCTTTGTTTTTCTTCTTCATGTTTCTTTCATCCTCATCAGTATTTCTAGTCCAGTTTGTTAATAACGAACCTAAATCAAATCGGTTATATTAATTCTCATTTCTTATTCAGATGGACCATTGTGGGTTTATGTTTTGTTTGTCTTTTTCGTGTAATGTTTATGCAATTACCTTATCTATCAGCTACATGCATTAGACGGTTAGAGATGGCATCAACCATTTCTCTGTTCTGATGTTGAACAAAACCCAGTTTTTTTTTTTTTCCTTTGCTTTTTCCCCGTTTAACATTTGTTTGTTATTTTTTTATGTGAAGGTATTCCTTCTGAGTCCAGATCACAGATTATGCTTTGTTCTCCTGTGAATATTTTCAATGCATCTTTTGCTTATAGACAAGATTTGGGTAATGATCTTTAGGTGTTTGATACTAATTGTCTCGTAGAGATATTACATGTGGACCTCTGCATGTCTTCAATATATTATACAAGACAATCAAATACTAGGAATTGCAATTTTATTTTCTTTTTCTTGCTTATTTTCTGCTCAATTGGAGTTTAGAGACCTGCTGATCGGTACTCCACTGCCATTTTGGAAAAGGTTCCAGAATCCTCCATGGAAAATGTTGAAAAGATGCAACTTCCTGGATTCCCTATAGGAATTGCTGAAGCAATTGACCTACCAGATAGTCATTCACACATTAAAGCTTCAACCAATTTCCTAAGAAATAGAAAAGTGGAACCTGACGTTCTGGCTCGTGTGGAAGAAGAACCTGATGTCGTTGCTCGTGTAGAAGAGCCTGATGTCCCTGCTCGTGTAGAAGAACCAGTCATTTCTCTTGTAGAAAAGCCAGTCACTGCTCGTGTAGAAGGCCGGAGAAAACTTACAATTCCTAGATCCTTTAGTAATGTCAGTGAGAAAAAAGGCGCTATTGATACGACTCCGCCTATTGAGTCTGTCAAAGAAGCTGTTTCTAGGTTTGGAGGAAGCATAGATTGGAAAGCCCGTCGTGCTAAGAATATCCAGCAGGTATATCTGGCTTCTTATCGCTAGTGTCAATTGAGAAAAAAAAGTTGGGAGTTGTTTTCGGTCATGATGAAATTCCTCTGCTCATGGCACTAATGATGACATAAGAAAAAAAGTACAATTAGTTAACTTCACTTTATTTGCAATTTTGCTAGATTTTATTAGAACAAGAATGAAGAAGGAAAATAAAACAAGTGGGTGTTCTTTAGGCCTTTGATGGCACCAAAATAGTGGTCCTTTCTCCATTCTGCAAAGCGGAGAAGTGAACTAATTTTTCTCTTCGTCACTTGCTTCCCATGTGGTTTGGACTAATCACTGTTACATGCATACATAGAGGCTTGGAGTTAAAATTAACTGTTAATTTTATTTTCTGGTATCACAGAGACCCAAGAGTGTGGGAGTAGAACTTGAAATATCACAGGAGATTGCCGAGCTGAGGAGACAAGTCAAGTTCCAGCTACCTGAGGATTTGTACAGCACTAACAAACTTATAGAAGAACTGAAACAATACTTAGAGAGGGCACAAAGAGAAGAGCACGAAGCAACTCAAGCCTCAGAAACTGCGAGGCTCAAAGCTGAGGAGTTGGAGCAGGAGATTGTAAATGAAGCCAGGCACGCAGCTGCAATTTCAGATTTAAATTCCACTAATGAGGAACTGGAAAGATTGCATGATGAGCATGCTTGTATGGTGATTCAAAAGGACATTGCTGTTAAAATGGCTGAAGAGGCTGTTGCTGCATCTAAAAAAATTGAGCAGTCATTGAAATATTTGACTTTTGAGTTTGAGTTATTGAAGATGGCACGAACTTCGCAGCCAGGAGCTGGAGGTAAGGATTGCAGCAACTGGAAGCTGAAACTTCAACATGCAGAAGAGAAGCTCCACAAACTCAACCAACAAGCTTCAGCAATGAAGGATCTCAAATCTAAACTGGATGCATCTTCTTCTTTATTGCTTGATTTGAAATCTGAATTAGCAGCATATATGAAATCCAAATTAAAACGGGAGGGTGATGAAGAACCAAAAAAGGTATTTGACGAAGTGAAAGTCAAAACAGAGAAAGCATCTGCTGAGCTTCACTCAGTTATCACAACCATCAGGCGAAGTGAGGAAACAGTCTCTGTTGCAGTTGCATCTCCCAAAGCTGAACTGGAGACAATGTCTCAATTGGCTTCAGCTGAGATGAAAAAGAAAGGAGCCAGAGGGATAATTGACCTCGATAAAAAACTAGAGCAAGCAGAACAGAAGGCTGTTTATGCTAAATCACTTGCTCAGGCAGCTCAAATAGAGCTGCGTGAAGTGAAGGAAGATGCTGAACAAGCCAAGGCCAGAGCAAGCGCGTTGGAACGTAGGTTAATGGCAGCACAGACAGAGTTAGAGGATGCCAAGTACTATGAGAAGGTGGCAGCAGAAGCAGTTAAAGCATTGCAAGAGAGTGAATCGGCTGAAAACAACTATGACATGCATTCTCCCTCTGAGGTAACACTCGAACTGAGAGAATACTATGAACTCAGGAAGCGTGCATACGAGGCGGATAAGCCAGTTGATTTGAGGGTTGTAGCTGCTAATTCTCAAATTGAGATGGCTAAGGACTCTGAGTTGAACAGCTTAAATAAGTTGGAGGAAGTAAATCAAGAGTTGGCTGCAAGAAGGGAATCCTTGAAGATGGCAACTGCGAAAGCTGAGAAGGCCCAAGAAGGAAAATTAGGAGTAGAACAGGAGTTACGGAAGTGGAAGGCTGACCAAGAGCAGAAAAGGAGTGCTAGTTTGGAGCGGAAGAAAGAATACAATAAATCTGAGCAGATTAACGGGCCTTCAAATAATACTGTAACTGAACGAGCCCCAGAAACAGAGACCAAAAAGAAGAAGAAGAAGCAACTGTTTCCACGGGTTATAATGTTCTTTTCCAAAAGAAAAGCCCGTCGTAACAAGTGAATGCAATCTTTGATTCAAAACCAATGCACCCAAGTCTCACCATAACCCCCATCTTTTGTAAAATTATTTCTACCAATTAAGTAAAAGTTCATGCATGGTTGGGACTGTGATTCTCTCGGAGATGGTTTAAGGGCTGTTAATTGTAAGGACATAGAATAAGACTGCCTTGAATAAGCTCAGCTTGGCTGCAAGAACAGAATAAGAATATTGCTTATGATGAACAGGCTAGAATTACTCTTATTTAACATCACTCTTCTAGAGATTATTCTATTTGATTTCAACCCCCCCCCCTTCCTTTTCGCAGGTATAAAGCGAAACGTTTCCAATCTTCTGGGAAATCTCCATCCCAGCTTTTGCTTTTCTATTTAACAACTTGCAACAGATCAAATAAGTACATCCAGAATATTTTCGTTTACATGAAGAACAGCCTAAAACTAGACAAATCAACAAAAAAATACAGAGAATGTGGAAAACACAATAGAATAAATGATTGTGGGAGTGTTCCAAAGCCTGCCTCGTTCAATATGTATAATGGCAGGGTTTCTAGGCTTTTGCTGCTCCTACTGGAGCCTTAGCCCTGCTGGCTATTATTTGCTCATATAAATCTCTAATCTTCAACCCAATTATGGTCTGGAAAAGACCTGTCCCATTGTTGCTTCCTGGGAAGTCAGCATGTTTCAGCATCTGTTGTGTAACCTCCCCATAGAATTTTGTTGAGAGGTTACTGAGATGGCTCTCAACATAAATCAGTTCATCTAGTTTGTCAAATTGCCCATCCATCTCTACAATTGATACCTGTATCATGTGAACAAAAACAAAGTTAAGTTGATAAGATCAACTTCTGGGAATGAAGTGAGTGAAGATCTTATATAATAAATACTTCAACCTGCATAAACCTCAGGGGCTGAAAATACCAAATATTTTATCCATGCTGATAAATTTATAACTGAACAATCCCATGTGATCTTGAGACTAATTATTCTTTAATTCGAACTATTTATAACATTACAGACATGAAAATAGAAGATCTGGAGTTGTTGGTACCTCATGACCATAGTAAGTCTTAGGTCCATAAAAGAATTTGATGCCAGGATAAGAGCAGGTTAGCTTCCTCCCACATGGTATCCAGGAAATGGTAGACCCTTCATCAAACAAGTAAGCAGGGCTAAAATGCTTAACCCCTTCTTTCTGTATTAACCTCACTCTTAAAACCTTTCCCTCATTATCATCTGGAATGAGCTGGCTTGGCAACACTTCTATCACTGAATCTGCATATTGCTTCTGAGGATCTGAATGCAAAGTGAACAGGTTATAACATGCACTATCACTTACACACATAATGCAATAAATCGATAAAAAATATTTATTTATGATAGGTTATGTTATGATTCAATCATAATCACAATAATGAACTTTAAATAAGTGTTGCTAATTCAATGACTGATCTGCTTATAGGTCCTTTTTTTCAAGACTAGACCAATCAAAGACATTTAGACTGCCAGAAGTTGAAGGTTTGATTGTATTTATTACCAATATAGGCTTCAAAATCAGGCTTCCGAGCTTCAATGCTAGATTTGATGCTTTCAAGGGTGTGTCGACGCTCTGCCATGTCTCTCTGTAATAATTGTCAGATCACAATATGGAAGAGAACTTCGAAAGTATCCTTTGAAAATTTGCAGAAATTTGTGGAACTCATGATGGGTTGTGTTTTGTGCTCACCTGAATTTTCCAAGCGAATTTCACTTCATTGCTGATGTCCAAGTAGATACTGAAGTCCAACAGTTCTCTCACCCGTGGATCAAACCTACACGAATTACAAGAGCCTCCATAAACTAAACTGATGACCGGCAAGACACTTCATTACTGTGCATGTAAATATATTATTGATGTTATTTAGCTTTGAAAACTCTGAGCGGGGCCAATTTGACTTTACCTTGACCCAAAAAAGGAATCTATTCATAAATAATTTTTTGTTAGAGATGAAATATTCTATATCTAATAGATATACGTTCACAATAGATTTTCTAAAAATACTCTATAACATAACTTATTTAAAGAAAAATCAAAAATCAAAAAAGTATTGCAGTCTCCTCTCCTCTCTAATGAATCAAAGGCAATATGAACTATTATTTTAAAGTAATTAACTAACAATGAGAAGGTTGGAAGGTCTTGCAATATTCTCAGCCATACAAAACAACCAAAGATATGGATTAAGTATGAGCTAAACACCCCATTGTCTCATAATTCATTTTTATCTTTTAGAAATGAAAATAGTGAACTCAAGCCACTTCCAAACCCAGCAAAAACATGAGCTTTCCGTTTTGAAAACACTTGAGCACAACCAATCTAAAAACGAAAGAAAACCAAACCTTAGTTTTGAGAAATGCTTACATTGGATGCAAACCTTCAATGACCAAGATTTTGGGAGGCTTGATGAGCTCAGGAGGATCCAAGAGACCAGTGACATGATTGTAAATGGGTTTCTCCACAGCAAATCCATCCTTAAGAGCCTTAACTTGCTCATACATGAGATCAAAATTGTTGGCTCTAGGATCAAGTGCGGTCACTCCTTTCTCTTTTCTTCCATATCTGTCTAATGAATGATAGTCATCCAAGCAAATGACTGTTGTGTGTGTCACTAATGAGAGTGTTAGAATCTGGGTTTCCTCCTTTTGGTGGTTCTGCTGTTCCTCCAAACACACTGGTTAGTCTTCTCATGAAGGTACTCTTCCCACAGCCTGAATCTGCAGCTAGACCAATCACTATAGTCTGACCATGATCACCTGCTGCTGCACATGTTATCACACATGTGGTGCTTTCCTCCTCCTCCTCCTCCTCCTGTAGATAACAACCTGCTGTTTCTGGGGAAAATAACCCAAATGTGATTTTGATGGAGATGAGATCCAGCATTTTGTGCTGAGGGATTGTGTTGTTGTGTACACTGTGCAAGCTGCCATTGTTGGTGGTGTTGTTTGTTGTTGTTTTATCTGTGTCTCTCTTCACAGAGAGAAGCTGAGAGATGTTTGAGGTTGGTTCTTCTTTGATGATGATGAAGGGATGGGACATATTTGAAGAACAAGTTTGGAGCACAAAGAAAACGAGAGGTGGAATTGAAACCAAAGCTGTTTGGCAGAAAAGAAAAGAAAAGAAAACAAAAAAATAGTAGGAAATGGCTGATGGAAAAGCTGAGTTGTGTTTTGGAATTGGATTTCTGTGACTCCCCCTTGTTTTGGACAACGCGGATCTTCATGTAATTCTAGGAAAGAACCCACGTGGATGTAATGAATCATCAGGCAAGGGTTAAGCATGTCTTTTCATAATGTATTTTCCTCCAGCTGATGAAAAATAATGAAGAAATAGAAATACCAGATATTTTTGTGATCGTAACAGGCACTGAAGGCTGAGTGGTTTAGAAAATGCCGCATGGATTGTTGACATGCCACGTGTCATCAACATATTGGCTCCTTTAAGATGAAGGGTTTGATGAAGGACCACATTCCGGAAAAGTAGTCACAAAAGGTTAAAAATTGACATCAGCAAAATAAGATGATGTAGTGTGAGGTACACAACAGAATATCCGTGAAGTTGCCTTACATCGCCTTACATCAAAACTTTAACAAGACTTTAACTAATTTAGATTAAGTTGAATCGAGACCTTTGGGGTAAAAGCTCTACCAACAAAAATATTGCATTTCTGGAACTTGAACTGGAGAACTTTAGTTAAACGGGCAACTCTCTTACTAATTAAACCAAATCATCCGGTGTAGTTGAATTCTTTTTTATCACCACAATTCTCAGATTCCTTTTGTTCTTCTTTCTAACAAGTGCCAGTAAGTCAAATACTGTTAACGGTAGACAAAAAATAATATATTATATTTAACATCAAAAAACTGCTTCCACTATTCTAGTTTCTAAGCCAATGGTTTCTAGCAAAACAATCAATTACACTATTTCATAATTATTTGAATCTAGAAATGAGTTTAATTCAGACATCATACAATTATACAACCTTGAACATTGTCATATATAATTAAATAAAGTGAACCATTTGACGTTCCTGCAGAGCTGGAGGAGTGTATAAGTTTTTATTTTATTTTTTAAAAAATCATTGTTGTTTATTGAATTTAAAGAATATTTTGATGGAATGTTTATATAATATTATATATTTGTATTAATTAATAAGCTCAGAACATATTATTCTTTATAATCTTGTATAGATCGTGATATGTGAAGGCTCAACCTACAATCTTATAACATTTAGTTATTTTCTATATTTTAATTGATCGAGTTAAAGATAATAAGAGATTAATTAATTAATTTAATTATTAAGACGGTTATCGATATAGTTCATATAATACAATTAGTCGATAACCAACACTCACGTCTCTTTTCATTTTCTCTTCTATCTCTACACTCTTTAAAACCTACAAGACTTAGTGTATTGTAAATTTGCCTACACTCGAGCTAACTAATAAGTCATAAGTCATGATTCTTCTTGTACATGTGTGTGTATATCAAGATACTAATTTCAACATATTTTGCTTCATTATGTGTCTTTTTAATGACACTTTTGTCCCAAAAAATAATTTAATAACAACCGAATCTTCAAAAGTTTTGTTACGAAATAAGTTAATAAATGTTGATTCAAGTGATTATGAATACAAAAATGTTAATTGCTAATCAGGTGTTTACGTATTATAATTATAAGTCATTTATAATTATTTGTAACCCGTGTCTGAATTAATGATATTTGTAACTTTTTTTTTTTTAATAAAACTTACTAAAACCTAACTGTCACTAGATTTGTAAATTTTTACGTGTTATAAGCCAAAGTTTACTTTTGACTTTGTTTTTGCATAAAGCCATTAGTAAAAGACACCGAAGTGGGTTCCGACATTTGGTTGGTCTTTTTTAACTTTTGAGTGGATTAAGGAATTAAATTATGTTCTTTTATTCTAAGAAAATGATGAAGAAATAAAGGCAGATTATGCTCGGTCAACGCATGATAGATCTTTACTTGGCCAACTTGAATTCAATAACGAACTCATATATTTTATATTTGTCGAAATTCATCACTTCAATTTTAATAAAGTGCAAGGTTTATAAGTGTATTTAGTGTGGCGAATTAAAGTTTAAGTTTTTTCTAAAAATTTATATTTATTGTCTGATCATATATCAAGAAAATTGCCTGATTAAGAAAGTACATGTGTATAATAAAATAAAAAAAAGTGCAAGGTTTAAAGAACTAATCATGAAAACTTACCC